TCTCATTCTTCCTCTCTCCTCTTCCACTCACCCTCTCTCCTCTCCCACTCACCCTCTCTCCTTCCTTCCTTCCTTCCTTCCTTCCTTCCTTAATTCCCTCCCTTGTCTGCCTCCCCACTCTATTCCTAACTTTGTATCACTGCCACCCTTTCTCTGTCTTTATCGATTTCTCATTTTTTATCTCACTTGTCTGCTAAGTGATTGAAAACAGAGAAAAGTGAGGTATTCAATGCCAGATAATTACCCATTGCCCAATAATTACTCATTGCCCGTCTCTCTCCCATTCAGGCCAGGACAGAAACCATTCATGAAATTCAAGATCAACGAGCGGGACCCCCTGGCCAGATTTGTGATTTTGGAGCATGGCTATGTCAACAATGACTCAGCAATCAGCACCATCAACCAGTCCGCCAACTTCTCCCACATGCACATAGAGTTCAAATTCAACGATTGTGGTTGTAACATGTAAGTCAACAGTGTGGACTAGGCTCTTTGTGGGGCTAGCAGTTGTAGTAATTTTAGGTGTAGCCCATTTGGATAGTTGTAGCAGGAGTGCTAGGAATAATGGCATTGATGATAATTATACTAATTGGAAGAGTAGAAGAAGCAACAATAAATGGAGTAATCTTCCATCTCACTAATTAGGCATTCATCTCACTAAATAGGCATTCATTGGTTTGGAAAAGTAGATTTAGTCTGACAGTTACTATTGTTATTGTTACCATTATTGTTATCATCATCATCATCATCATCATCATCATCATCATCATCATCATCATTTACTCACTGTGGCACCAGTACTGATCCATATTGTGTATTTCTACTGTAAGTGATTTACATTGGTTAATGTTGTTTTATTCCTTGGATAATGCAGTGCTCACAAAACCTGTTATAAAATGTATAGTCTTGTCCTACTGAATAAACTTTTTGTGTATTAGTAAAGAAATCAAGAACATGGTTTATGCTAAATAGGGGGTATCAGTAGCAGTAACACGGTATGTTCAATATTTTGCCTTTTTTACCCAAAATCTTATTGATTTGTTCATTGACAACCTGTCTGGTTCCATACTTGATGGGCCTGTGACATGGCAACAGTAGTAGTTTTAGTACCTAACTGAACATTTACAGTCAGTATGATGATAATAATTGATGATGATAATAATTGTTGTAATGATAATTATGATAATCGTGATAATAATAATAATGATAATGATGATGATGATGACGATAATAATAATAATGATATTGATATTGGTAATAATAATAATAATATTAATAATATTAATATATAAAGTAATAATGATGATGATGAACATAATGTTAATACTAATGATAATAATGATAACAAGAGTAATAATGAAAATAATAATGAAGGTTACAATCCTAGTAATAGTTATTGTGTTAATATTAATAGAGAAAAGAAATCTAATTGATAATATTAAGATTTTAGGTCCACATCAGTATAAACTAATTGTTTATTAATTTAATTATTGATATTAGTCAATCTCTATTTCATTCTCTTTATACATTAAATGCGTAATCTTTGTTCTCAACTTACATTTCATACATCCCCCCCTCCTGCTTAGGGAGTGTGCAGTGGTAATCCAGGGCACACAGGTCGGTAAGGCCAAAGAACCCACCAAGAAGGCCGCCAAGGAGAGTGCATCGATGCAGGCACTCGAGGAGCTCCGGCGCAGGTGCTATACTCTCAAGGTGAGTCAGTGTTGGTGTCGTGGTTTGGGTTGTGCTTTTTTTGTTGTTGGTAGTGTTTGTTGGGAATGAAAATTAAAAGTTCCACTGCTCAAGATGTGTATAGGACTAACTATTTTGCATTGGATGGTTTAAAATACGTTTGTTGCTGGTGTGCAGGACACTTGCCTGCGAGTGGTAACTTTGAATGTGTTGCCCTGAGAGTCTGTTATCTAATAGTTTCTTCCTGGGTTGTGCTTTTTTGTTGTTGGTAGTGTTTGTTGGGAATGAAAATGAATAGTTCCACCGCTCAAGATGTGTATAGGATTAACTATTTCGCATTGGATGTTTTAAAAGACGTGTGTTGCCCGTGTACAGGACACTTGCCTGTGAGTGGTAACTTTGAATGTGTCTCCCTGAGCATCTGTTATCTAATAGTTTCTTCTTCTCTCTCTCACACACACACACAAAGTTTAAAGGAAAGATTCATTTCATTGTAATATTCATTTCATGGTAAACTAAGGCAAACTCTCCCTGTTGTAGGGTTAAGTAGTGAAGTAAAGGATAGAGGGATATGGAGGACAAGGGTAAGACCACAGAGGAGGAATCTGTGACATAGGCTCTGCCAGTGATAGTTTCTCATTTTGGGTCGAGGGTGGGGCACAGTCTAGCTGATTTATGTGATGGGTGGGAAGGGGGATGGTGGGTGGAGCTATAGAATTTCTAGGGCAATATACAAAGTCTAAAAAATAGAGCCAGAACAGAGTGCAGGATCACTCAACCCGTTTTATAAGGCGAAACAGTGTCACAGTATAAAACAGGTTAACAATCCAGTAGTACATTCAAAAGGCACTTTTTCAGTCTGTTTTACAATTTTATCTTTACATTACTAATGTTATTGTTGTTTAAGACGCAGCATTCATTAAAAAAAAAAATTGGGCCATTTTTCTGTTTGCATGAGGTGCAGTGAAGTAAACTAGTGTATAATGACACTGTGCCACCTTTCTTCAGCCTTAGGGTCACATAGAGCTATAACCTCCTATCACTATAATTACTTGGTTGTCCCCTTGCTGTCCCCTTCCCTTAGGCCTCCTCCTCTCCATCCATTCAGTTGCTTCCTGGCATGGCTGAGCTCCTTGCAACAGTATTTTGATTTCCACATTGCATTTTGTAAATACATAGCTATGACACATATATGATCAGATAGATTTTTCCCATTACCTTTGTACTCTTTAGTAAATATTTGATATTCCTACACAATACTTACAATTTCTGGTGTGTAAAAACATGGTGTTTGAATGATAAAGGCCATGTTTGCCCATGTAAAAGCCGAAAATTCAGGTTAATTTGTAGCTGGGGCAAGGGCAGGCTTGAGGACTTTCAGTCTTTATGGTTCAAGGTGTGATAGTGTTACTTACAATATCATTGCTATTGATATTGCTATTATTATCATTATTGTTAGTAGTAGTAGTAGTAGTAATAGTAGTAGTAGTATCATTGCTACCAATATTGATACTTATTGATAGCAATAGATGATAACAAGCTCTTAAATTGAAGTCAGTCATGTTAGATATGCTCTGTAATTTTATATTTACAAAAATTCATTTCTTTCTTTCTTTCTTTTTATTTTTCTTTCTTTCTTTCTCTTTTTATTTTCTTTCTTTCTTTCTTTCTTTTTATTTTTCTTTCTTTCTTTCTTTTTTTATTTTTCTTTCTTTCTTTCTTTTTTATTTTTCTTTCTTTCTTTCTTTTCTTTTTATTTTTCTTTCTTTCTTTTTATTCTTTTTTCTTTCTTTCTTTTTTATATATTTTTTTCTTTCTTTTTATTTTTCTTTCTTTTTTTCTTTCTTTCTTTTTATTTTCCTCTCTTTCTTTCTTTTTATTTTTCTCTCTTTCTTTCTTTTTATATTTGTCTATATGAATTTGACATAATTAATGAATATCTGAAGGATCATCTGATAAAAATTCGGAACCCAGAAAATGCTGATCTTTTGACAGAAATGCACATGTGCACAGTACTCAGGAATTTTTTTTCACATTTCCTCAAATCAGAATGGAATATAAGGTTAACTCAGAAAAAAAAAATCTTGTATTGTTTTTCAAGATGTACAATTCTTCAAAGTAGGGACATAACTATGACACACACACTTACACACATACAATTAATAACAATTAAGCTTCTCCCATTTAGCATGTACTCAGAAAGATTTGTTTTCTTCCCCACATCCCTCAGATCATGAAGAAGCATGCGTCAGAGGAGGAGGTATCCATCACAGACGTGGATGGTAGGGTATCCAAGGTGAATGAAGGAGGCTCCTCTTTAGACAGGCCTGTGGAGGACTCTTCCATAGGCAGCAAGCTCCTCAAGATGATGGGCTGGAGTGGTGGAGGACTCGGCAAGGAAGAGTCAGGCATCACAGAGCCTATCAGGTGAGAGGAAGGGAGGACAGGATAGGAAGAGAAGAGGGAGGAGGGAAGATTAGTAGACCCTGTGACCTTACCTAATTTCGCCTTTCCTTGAATTAGCAGAAAAAAAAACATATTTTTTACTAATGCTGTGAATATCGATGGTGTTATTTTTATCATAGACATTATAATTACTGTAATGGTATAAACATTAGTAACAACAAAATAAGATTTTGGTAAATCAAGGCAGAGGGTAAACGGGTAAGACAGGCAGTACTCATAATTGGCTCATTGGTGACTTAGTACAAGTGTAGCCATCTATGTGTAAAAACAATTAAACAAGTAAACTCACAGTGGGCATGGTATGTGCGTACATACCATGCCCATCGGCATTGGGTTAAATTAGGCCACCATGCTGGCTAATGAATCAGTCCTTGGTTGAGCACTGTAGTGAAAATGTGGTTGACTTTGACTGAAGGACATGTTCTTACGCCTTTGGGAGCCTGTAACAAAATAGATATTAAACACGATCTTCAGATTAAAACACTGAATTTCATTTATCAATTATTTCTTGTACTTAACTGGAACAATTTGACTCAAATTCTTCAATAAAAAGTTTTTCCTAGCATGTAAGATGAGTGCCGCCTGCTACACCCACAGATGAAGACAATTTCAGGAACAAAGCAACAAGCTGTAATCCTTGCCTAGCAGCATTCCTAATATGAAACCACAAGAAAATATGTAGAAAGTAAGGAAGAATGAAATTCACAAGATTAAGACTCCTGAGAAGCATCATATCCCCCCTGCTATTTGATTCTCATAGTTAGCTCCATTTAATGTATGAAATAGGAAAAGGTTTTGCCCCCTATTGTGAAACTTCTTTTCCCCTCCAGGCCAGCTACGGTATTCGGGCGCGAAGGACTGGGCCACGAGGAGCAGGGCGTCACGCATAAGTTCCGTTCGTATATCAGGACTCTCCTCTCAGACTTTGCCAAGGGCTCCAGCCTGAAGGACTTGGCCTTCTCACCAGAGTTCTCCAGGGAACAGCGGGCCGAGATTCACATGTAAGTTTATTTGCAAAGGATTTTTTTTGCAATGTTTCAAGTTCAGTAATCATCTTGATAACTTTCCCTAGGCATTGATTTAGGACTTCATTAGACTGTTACAGTTAACAGTGATTCATAATAATGTATTATTTTTAATTTTGCATATCATATTGTATATTATTTTATGATTGTTATTATAAGTATTGTTAGAGAGAGAGACAGTGCATATGTGAGAGAGAGAGAGAGAGAGAGCATCCCTCTCTGTTTCCCATTGCTACTCCTATTTCCTTTATTGCAGATAGTTAGTATTAATACTGTCATTATAGTAAAATGTACTGGTATTATTAGTAAATACTGTCATTATAATTAAAAGGAATAGGATTATTAGTAACTGAAGTCCTCCTCTTTTGAGTGCCTTTCTTCTTTTCACACTGTAAAGCTTGTTTCGTCCATTCATTTATCTCGCAGGTCTGCTCGTAAATTCAAGCTAAAGACCAAGAGTTTCGGCGAAGGGCAGAACCGCTTCCTGGTGCTGTCCCGCAAATTCTCCGCCCTTGAGCTCATCGAGAAGATCGTCCAGGAGGGCGGGACGAGCAAATATGAGGTCGTGCCACCAAAGCGCTAGTGACAGGGGGGGCGATTACATGTCAGAAGAGCATCGCTGGAATATGGTGTTTGTAAGGAGGGCATTGTTGCTCAAGTTCCCCTCCTCCCTCCCCTTCCCTTTTTTAAACACACTTATAGCATAATATATCTATAAATATTCATGTTTATGTATTTATATTTATTTATATATATTTGTGTTTCATCAGTTTGCTAATATATCTTTTTGTTAGGAATCCTATATTTTGTCTCAGTATTCCACTGCAGCCCAAGTCCTCTGACATGCAAGTGAAAAATGGGCATTATTGCATATCGTATATTTCTTTAGTGCTATATTTCTATGTTGAAGGAACTTGAATATTTTAACTGAGTAATGCAGCAATGGGAAACTTCTGAGCAGTATTTAATCAATGTCATTATTTCGTCTGATGTGTACATAGGAGAACTTTTCTTATCAGTTTTTGTTTGTTGTTCAGCAAATCATTGTCTTCTGGTTATTGAAACATCAAAGCATGTAAGATATATATACATACAACATAATGTATAGATTAAATATTCAATGTAAAGTAGATTTACATTACACAGATTTCATAATATTTTGTTTTTGAATGGCATAATGAGGATCCAGATTGTATAAGTGTTTGTGAAGTCACAGTAAATAGGGAATTTTTTTATGATATAAATAGGAAAAGTAATCCTTTCCTTATCTTTTTATTTTTTCTGTTTATTTGTTTGTTTGTTGAAAAAATCCTACTGAGTGAAGTGAGACGATGTTATTATGTATTCTGTACAAATGAAATGTAAAAAAAATAAATAAATAAAAACAATATTTCTGTAAAGAGAGATACATCCAGGAAAGAAATACGAAAATAAAAATATTGATCAACATTTTCTTTTTTTTCTAAACCGTGACCTTGAAGACATGTGATTAATCATTCTTATCAAGGCTTTCTATTTTCCTCTTTCTCTTTTTTGATCCGCACAGTTCAGATTCTCCTACTGTGTTACTGGACCACTGACTATAATGCGGCTCTCCCTCGACAAAGAGGGATTCTCGAGCATTTCTTCTCTAGGTTGCTTCACTGTAAAATCCTCAAAGTCTCAGTGTAAGAGGGCTGGTCTACATAGATGGCCTTGTTATGCAAATAGTTTTCATATGATATATGCAATTTAATATTTAAGAGAATTGCTAACTGTTTTTTATTTTTTTTATAAATAAATTAATTTTTTAGTGCATAATAAACTATGAACTATGTTTTGATATAGACGGATAAATGGTTAGATATAGAATTATTGATGTGTCTTTATAGATACACACACATACACACACACACACAAATATATATATAGATAGATAGAGAGAGAGACAGACAGACAGACAGACAGACAGACAGACAGACAGACAGATAGATAGATATTTATAACTATAGTTTAGGCAAATGCAGTTATATGTATGTATGTTAATACATATATATATATATATATATATATATATATATATATATATATATATATATATATATATATTATATATATACATATACATATACATATACATATACATATATTATATATATATATATATATATATATATATATATACATATACATATACATATACATATACATATACATATACATATACATATACATATACATATACATATACATATACATATACATATACATATACATATACATATACATATACATATACATATACATATACATATACATATACATATACATATACATAGATATATATATATATATATATATATATATATATATATATATATATATATATATATATATATATATATATATATATATATATATATATATATATATATATATATGTATATATATATATATATATATATATATATATATATATATATATATATATATATATATATACATGAATCTCTCTCTCTCTCTCTCTCTCTCTCTCTCTCTCTCTCTCTCTCTCTCTCTCTCTCTCTCTCTCTCTCTCTCTCTCTCTCTCTCTCTCTCTCTCTCTACACACACACACACACACACACACATATATATATATATATATATATATATATATATATATATATATATATATATATAGAGAGAGAGAGAGAGAGAGAGAGAAAGAGAGAGAGAGAGAGAGAGAGAGAGAGAGATTCATGTATATATATATATATATATATATATATATATATATATATATATATATATATATATATATATATATCAGCAGTACTAGCATATAATTATATACCATATACATACCTCGCACAGTGTGTATATATTAATACATAGACCTAGATAAATCATACGGAGTTAATATTTCTTTGCTGAATATAATTTCAAAATGAAAATCTTCATTCTTGGAGATTTCTTCCTCGGTGTGGAGAACCGAGGCATCATTTAGAATAAGGCGAATAAACATTTTGCAGACAATTAAATCTCAGGCATTTTTCCGTAAAGTACCGAAATGCTAATGGGAAATTTAATGATAAAACGTTGTATGGAATAACATCATTATAGTATATTACAGTATTGCCGGAGATATTATTCGTGTAAAATTATATATCGATATGGCAACAGAGAATGGCGAGATTGGGGCGGGGGGGGGGGGACAGCTTAAACTCAAATATCGGTAAGAAAATAACATATCTAAGATACTTTAAAACAAAGTAATTTTATCCAGGTGAATGACTCTTATTTGCACAAGAAATCCCATTAATATTTACACTTCTGGTATGTTTAAAGGTACTTCCTCGTATGTGCCAGACGTCTTTGCACAGGTCACGGAATTTCCCATAAGCGAAGCACTGCCAGTTCTTGTTGACAGGAAGGGTCTTGTTGACAGGAAGGGTCTTGTGACTCAGATTACTCATTGAGTTATACAGACTTTGGGGCTGACCGGGCGCGAACACGGGCCAGAACGGTTGCAAAGTCAGCGCTCTACTACTGAGCTATGCCACTTCCAGAATACAATGTTCTCCACAATTTTGTTTATGTTACTGGTGTCAAAATTAAAGAGCGTAGGTTATATACAGTGGCATTTGCTTTCATCACGCGTCCTTCTCGCTTTACTAGAAAGTTGAGGGTGAAGGACAATGGGACAGTGATTAATATTGCACAACAGGCTCTCAACTTGTCTGAACTAGCGATGACCGAGGACAATTGAACAATCATTTAATAAAGCGACCGTAACAGAGCAATAATTACTGACGATGTATCTGTATTACCACAACGTTATTTATATCATAATTGTGCGTTGCTTGAAAAAAAATATAGATGTTACAGCAAGCCGCAGAAATCTCAAGCGCCTTATTGATCTTCAGGCGAGGGAAAGCTGGGAGTGAATTTACAGAAGACACGCTTTCACGAAGTCTCGGTAAAATGGAAGTGGACTTTGCATGCGAAGTGGACTCTGGCGACCGCGACCACGAAGAAGCCAGGACATTTATCCGCTGACGAGATCAAGGGGTCTCGGATGCGGTGCGTCTTAAAGCGGAGTTTGGAATACGAAGCGATCGTGTGTTTTATCTCCCGGGAGTAAGTTGGACATTTACACAAACACGCACATACGTATACCGCACGTACATCCTCCCTCCCGTCCCACACACACATACACGCGTACGCTTTCATATACAAACAAATACAAACACACACAAACAACCCAGACAAACAAACACAAACACCCCAGACAAACAAACACAAACACCCCAGACAAACACAAACACCCCAGACAAACAAACACAAACACACACAAACACCCCAGACAAACAAACACAAACACACACAAATACCACAGACAAACAAACACAAACACACACAAACACCCCAGACAAACAAATACAAACACACAAAAACACAAACACCCCACACAAACAAACACAAACAAACACAAACACACACAAACAAACACACACAAACAAACACAAACAAACACAAACAAACACAAACACACACAAACACCCCAGACAAACAAACACAAACACCCCAGACAAACAAACACAAACACACACAAACCCCCCACACAAACAAACACACACAAACACCCCACACAAACACACGCATCCCCCCCCCACCACCACCACATCCCGGCCCAGGCATCCTCCAAACAAATCCTTCTCCCGCCATCCTCCTCTCTGGCCTCGAGCGTGAGCGCATTGAAACGGCCGAGGACTTTCTAGAACATTCTGGAACGTTCTGGAATATTCTTCGGGATGAATTCAGGAATGTTCTGGAATATTTTCAGGCTGAATTCA